CATCATGCTAGTGGCCAATGAAGAAGCTCCCAGAGTAGGAATCAAAACCTCACAGGAAGGGCAACTTTCCAATAGAAATGTCCTCATCAAATAGTACACCACATAGTCCTCTGTCGTGGCATGGAACGCATGGTAGACTAGGCCCAGATGCTCTGCTGCGCGGATTCGTAGGGATCAGACGACGTTTTGAAGATGTTGTTGTTGAAGACCGCTGGGCGCCATGGGAGAAGCTGCCAGCTCGCAAGCTGAGACGTCCTTGCACGCCATCCCGCTACGGTATGACAATCTTCGCTCGGACAAAACCGTCCGATTCTGCCAAGAGTTCCGAGTCCGCACCATTGAAACGACACAGTGAGAGACTAGAAGAAACACCATTAGTCAAAGTCCGCAAAATTGCTGCTTCGGAAGATCGTCCTGCCGACCGGACCCAGCAAGCGGTTGAAGCACCGGGCCAATCTCTCAACTCTCCCAAGATGACACTGACCTGGTTGCGGATCAGCATGGCCCTAAGACGCTAACCCTAACTCCTGAAGAAAGATCCTGGGTACTAAAGATCCATCGCAACATGGGACATCCTGGAGTAGCCAAACTCAAAGCATTTTGCCAACAACTAGGACGCCAGAGCAAATTGTAGAAGCCCTGGACGACCTCCGTTGTTCCACGCGCGCTGATTCAAAGGGACCAGAGATTGCCAAACCAAGTGCTATACATCCACCATCAGACTTTGGAGATGTAGTGGGCATGGATGGTATCAAATGGACTAACAAAGAAAGAAACCGTTTCTTTTTCCACCAGTTTGTTGATCATGGAACAACGTTCCACACTGCCGCGATTGCAAACAGCCACGCCACTCAAGATGCCATTAAGGGTGGTTCAAGTTTGGATCAACTGGGCCGGACCTCCGGTGACTTTGATTGCAGATTCTGCGCCGAGATCGGAACTGAAGCATTCCATCAATTCTTGCAAGAACACGACATTCAAACTTCGCACGATTGCTCCAGAAGCACATTGGCAAAATTCGCGGGCTGACCGGCTCCAAGCCATACTCAACAAAATGGACCAGGACAAACCAGTTCAGACCCTCAATGACCTGGAAACAGCTTTATCATTCGCTACTCAAACCAAGACGTCATCAAGGTTATCCACAAGAACTGCTAGTGTTAGCAGTGAAGGGTCAGAAGCTTCCAACGAAAGCGCTCTGCGTGACCCCTCAGAGGGAGTGCAGTTTCGCCTTGCAATTCGAGAAGCCGCTCGCAAAGCATTCTGTGAAGTCGATCACACGCAGTCGCTGCGCCGGGCAGTTCGCCAACGGTCGAGACCCCAGAGGACTATCTTCCACCCGCGAGATTGGATCGTGGCACGGCGAAAAGAAAAGTGCAAGAACTTTGTTTGGGCAGTCTTGGGAAACAAACTGTTTCGGGCGGCGCCTGTGCATGCCAGACCTCTCTCCGCAGTGGAGGAAATTCGACGTGCTCACAAAATCCAACACCAGTCTTGAGCAAGACCTCGAAAATCTTAGGTCTGGTAATACACGATACGTCGACTTGCCGCCGGTTCCATTGCCCTTCAGCCGACCCGAAAACTCAGGACAGGGAACCAGCAGACATCTCAGAACACCCAAGCAAATCCCTTTCCAATTCAGCCTGAAGGCGTCCCAGTCCCGCTAGATGAAGACGACGATTGGTTTTGCGACGCACGCCGTCTTTCGGAAGAACAAGCCTGGAGATTTGAAGTGGACCACTTCAAAGGATAGCGATATGTGGAGAAATGATCCTCGGCCTGAAGCCTTTTTCTTGGTGTCCGCAGCAAAGAAACAGAAGACAGAGGTCAAAATGTCTCAATTGACCGAACAGGAAAAGAAAATGATCATGGACCCATGGAAGCAAAGGAGAAAGAACTGCAGAGCTGGCTTGACACCAACCGGTGTGTAGAATATTTCGCCATCAGCTACCCGAAAGCAGCATCTTAGAATTCTGTCTTGGAAAGATGCAGAACTGAACACACACTCACGAATCCCGGGAATCACCGAACCATATTGGGCTATCAAGATCCTGCCCTCAGTGACCTCGAAAGGGACAGTCCAACGTTGTCGAAACTGTCAAGGAACCTCCTTTTACAAGTGTGCGTTTCGAGCCGTTGGCAAATCGGCAGCTTCGATATTAAGACAGCATTTCTCCGCGGACGAGCTGACTCTCGATTGTTAGGCCTGGAGCCGCCGGAAGAGTCAAGGACCAAGATGGGACTTAAACCATCTCAACGCTCCATTGTTGTGGTTCAGGGAGCTCACCAAGGCATTGAAAGAACTTGATTTTACGGAATCACCGTTCGATCCTTGCTGCTTCATGTTGGGCGACGAAAGCAATCAAGCTCAAGGTTTCATGAGTTCACGTCGATGATGGTTTGTCTGCCGGTAATAACGCAGAATTTGACAAGAAGATAAATCTCCTCGAACAAAAGTTTCTGTTGGGCTGTCGAAAGAACCAAAACTTTGTATTTACTGGCCTCCAGATTCATCAACACGAAGACTTTTCCATCCCGGTGGATCAGACACAATATGTGAAGGACATCAACCCAATCAGTATTAACAAAGAAGAAAACATTTGGAGGAACCATGCAACCAACGATCAAGAACGACAATCTCTCCGAGGACTGATAGGAAGCCTCCAATATGCATCCGTGAACACCCGACTTGATCTTGGAAGCCGACTCAGTTTCTTACAAAGCAAAATCAACAACGGACAGATCCAAGACGAAATGGAAGGCAACAAATGCTGCGCGATGCAAAAGTACACTCGGGTGTAAAGTGTCGTTTCCCATATATCCCCAAAGCAGATGTTCGATTTGTGGCCTTCTCAAACGCATCCTTTGCCTCAGAAAAGAACCCGTCTTCCCATCATGGCGATGATCATGACCGCTCACAAAGACATAAGCCAAAACCGAAAAAGTGTAGTCAACCCAGTGGCTTGGTCATCTAAGAAAACCCAAAAGGTCGCAGTCATGAGCACGCTCTCGGCGGAAGCGATGGCCCTAGCGGGCACTATGGACTATTTAGCCTGGCGTAGACTGTATTGGGGCTGATACTTGACCAAAGCTGCAATCGGCGCCTTGGAGTCTTGGAGGCCAGACTTTGAATCACTTGCCACCTGCCTTCTCGGCCTTCAAGGACGAGTCATGTCTCGAAGATCCCACAACTCAACGTTGAGTGAGAACATTTTCAAACTTCAAGCCACTGGCAAGGACGATTCCATGGTAGCAACAGACTGCAAAAGCCCGCTTGACTTAGTGAGTAGGACAACTCCACCCGCTTGTCAAGAATTCAGAACTTTGTTGCAAGCACGATTGATCAAAGAACATCTCGCCACAGGGGTCACCATCAGATGGGTTCCCTCCAGTGCCCAAGTCGCAGATTGCCCTACCAAGATTATGAATAATTCCACCTTGAGGGAAGTGTTGCAGGTAGGAAGGCGTCAACTCCAAGACGAAGATGAGCTCCATTGCAACCGATCTGACAGAAAGGCAAGGTTGAAATGGATTCGAAGCCACCAAGTCTCGGAGAACGCAAGAGGATGACGAAAGGAAAAGCCAAGACGTTCTTCGTCAGACCTTCGGACGCTGCTTGACCGTCCTGCCGCATGCCGTGAATGTGTTTTGGGGAAAACTTGGATAGAGAACACTTCTACCAAGCTCGAGGTGAACACCAAGTGCAAAGGGGAAAGGGAAGAGAATGCATTCAACGCATTCCTGTTTTTGTTTCCGGTTGCATAGACAAACCAACAGTGCTATGCCCTACATACTCCGTGGAGTATGTCTTTTTGTTCGACCACCCCTTGAACTCGGAACATGTTCAACAAATTACAAGTTTGGGGAATGTCAAATTGGCGTTTCGATGGCACGTCACATGTTCCGTGTTCATCGCTGCCACTCCCAGAGCAAGGGCGGGAGGGCAGTGTCGCCTTGAGCCATTCGGTGGCACAGAGATCAGGAGATCTCCCTTCGCAGAGCTTGGATGGCTTGGTGTGGAAAGAGGCTGCGGTGGAGTGCGCAGGGCGCTTGAGGAGCAGGGCTCCAGGTATCCTTTCAGGGTGAATTCATTGTGGTTGTGTTGCATTGTATTTGGGATTCGATCCACCTCCGAAAGACGCAAATAACGCGACGCTTAACCAAGACTGACTATGATGACCACGCAAACCTGGAAACCTAAGTCCAAGAAGATGTGGCATCCTGTCGCACCCTAATCCCCAAAAGCGAACACTTGTGAATGCCGCAAAAGTGGACCGTAGCAAATGTTTAAAAAGTGAAAGGCGTGAGAATTGTAGCGTGTCGCCGTATGGCGTATGGATGATGCCTGGGCGTTCAAGGACTCCACCAGGTCGTGCACATAAGGGGAAGAGATGGCCCGGCTTGGAGAAATCCTGCTAAGCTCAAGTCATCCACATCCTTTACGCGAGCAAGATCTTGTCGAGCCTGGCTTCGATTTTTGAGGTTGCACAAGGCCTGAGGTGTTTCGCTTTTGAACAGCTTGGAGTCTCGCTATGCAAAAACTTTCTGGTCGTTTGGGAATGTTTGGGATTTTGCCAAAGTGACCCTTGCTGTGGTCGCACGATCTGCAGCTGATACTCCCGTCGAAGTTTCTGGAAGGAAATCCTGAAAGTTTGCGCCGCGCAAACTGCAAAGAGCATGTACCAACTTGCTGCATATGAACTTGCTGCGTATGGCCCAAGTTCAACACCGTGGAGACATAGAAGTTTGTGGCATTTGCATCCGTATTGGTTGCCGTCGCCTCAATCATGATGAAAGACAAATAAAATCCAAAGTGATTATCTTGTATTCAAACTACATCGTTACAAGTTGACCGACCTGAGATTGCGCAGGAAAGTGTTGCACTCAATGTCTTTTGCTGCGTCACACGGTCTGCAATCCAGCAGTCTGCAATCAGTGCTGGCAGCTGCAAGCATTCCTGCTTTGCAAGAACATCTCGCGGAGCTTGTTCACGTTCCCCTTCAAAATGAACCCGTTGCGGCTGCAAAATCATCGGGCATATAGTTGCCCTTCAACTCGTTGCAGCTACTGCAAGCACAAACAAGGTTTACCATCGCATTTGTACCGCCTCTGCAAAGAGGGATCCAATGATCCACTGTTAAAGTGTTTGTTCCATCGGTGTGTTTTTCGCCACAGTACCAACATCTCTCCCCGTCACGTTCCAACACCTGTGAGCGAACGTCTGCAGGCATTTTCCATCGGCTCTCTGATTGGATCTGGAGCACTTCAGGCGGCTTCCATCTCGACACATCCCCTGAGGCCGCATGACCGAAGCAAAGCAACAAGCAAACCTCCGCAATCCAAAAATACCAAAAGCTAAATGTGACAGTCAGTTGGTGGTCCTTGCATGATCGGGAATACAAAAGCAGCGTCGTCTATCCAAATGTCGCAGGCATAGGACAATGTATCCAAACATGGAATTCGTTGGTTTGTGCGCGGGAAGGCCAAAAATGGATCCATAGGATGTATAAAACAAAACACAGGACAAAACTAAGATACTATATAGCTGCATCAAAAACAATCCCTTCACCACGTTTTGTGGGTCGTTTCAGGAACCACTCCAAAAATAGCTAAATGATCTTGCATCATTACGTGAAACATTTATGCGCTAGAAAAGGTCGCTGTGCGCAACACCCTTGCCTTGCACACGTGGCACGTTTTTGTCATTGTACAGCTGTCAGGCGGCGGTGTCGGCTCTGCACCTTTTGGGTTCGGCTCCATTGAATATCACAAACCGCTACGTTTTTGCACCTCTGACGAAGGTGGTGCGTAAGGGGACCACAAATGATGGGTTTTGCTACCAACATGTTCAGTTTCCAAACGCCAACGTGGCACAAATACAAACACAACTTAAAGTATCCCACCCACACATTGGGGAAGCCTTCCTGCGCGCACCCGCCTGGCCCTCGCACTGCCGCAGCCAAAGCCGTTAGCGAAATACCAAGTGGATAAGTTTCCGGCGGTGAGCTGAGCAACTTCCCCTGAAGAAATGTGACCGAAGAGCCGGTGAAACAATCAGTAACTCCACGCGAACCCCCCAGCAACTGAGAATTGCACTTTGTGCTTGGTCAAAAACTGTAAGGTCCAAATTCTGTGTGGACGTAGTATACGCTGGGAACGATAACACTTGACACTTGGTGAGGGTCGTGCTCCCCATTCTATAGTGATAAAATTGGGACACCCAACCCTGAGGTACCCACAAAACTCTATAGAATCAAAACCAAAGGTATGGCTGGCAGGAATAAACCTCTAGAAAATCGAGTGCGGCCCCTTAACATCAGAAATACCACAGGTGCCCAAGATGAGCCTATATAAAATGAATCACCGGCATCTGGGTAGGATAAGAGGTCGAATTTACTTTAAAAAACGCAAAGTGTCAATTTGTCGCTATATAAAACATACATGAACAAATTCATTATTCCCATGACGTTCTATACAATGAGAATCACTAGCCTCTACAAAAGCAACACCCTCTATAGAATCAATGCAACCGATGCGACTAAGACAGACTGAAGACTCTATAGAATTCAATTCAGTGAACAAGCAAAATATCCTCTATAAAATCGAACACACTATCTATATACAGACTCAAAATCTTAATGTATCAAGGTTAAGTTCTAACATCCAAAAAAGATCATTCTCTGATATCATGCCAATGGTACTGATAATGGAGGCTTTAATTCTATAGAGAAGCTACTCTATAAAATGACTTCAAAATTGGGTGGTCGACCTCCCCCATTTTATAGAGGAAATTGGCAAGAGTATCTCAAAATCATCACCTCAGGCTTGCGCTACGCCCAAAGCAAAAACTGGCGAGCGTCGACCACGCATTATTGCTTGTATAAGGTATACGTGGCTGGGCGCAACCTCTGGCAGGGGGGGGCCTGCACCCTACCATGGACTGCTCAAGGTTGAATGAAGAGCTTGGGCCACCGCAGGCAGCTAATGTCTTTATTACTCTTGGAGCGATCCCTTGAGCCTTACACAACAGCAGGCACAATTCACGTTTTCACTTCCAGCACAGAGTACTGCGACGCTACCTTTTTCCTTTCAAGGCAAAGCCAAAGTCCAGCAAAAGTCTACGCATAACGCAGCGTCTTATCAAGTCCAGTATGTTACATACTATAGACAAGGAAATCTCAAGGCTTCAAAGTGTGGTAGGAGGAGCAATAGCTGACTCACTTCCTAATTATAAGAACGGAGAACTACACATTCAGTGACATTCAGCTGGCAAAGATACCATGGTTCGGCTCTCTTTAGTGCCTTGACACAAGACTTCGAAAGTAGAAATGAATGAGCTCAAAAACAGGAGATTATCCCCTTCGCCTAGCGGCTCTCATACAAAGACCTATAACTGCTATAACAGAACAAAATGACCACGTTCACAGAAACTCGAGAGATTAAAATCCGCAATCGCACTTATTGCATGCAATTACAAGAGCTTGCAAAATGCAAGGAGCAGCAGGCTCGAGTAAAGTTCTTCCTGGTTGCGGCGGCCTCGGCCGCTAAAAGGATACAAAACTATTCAGGTCTAATGGACGCGCATCAAAAGGACTCTACTCTTCCAAAAACAAAAACAGAAGCGAAAACGCGCAAACGCAGGAGACTCAGAAAGAGAGACTGGCGCTTGCAATGAACCTTCACGATCGTCTTTCTTGACGGTAAGTTCATTAGAGGAAGATCCAAACTGGCTTCACGATCCCTTTTGGCGGCTCTTCCTACTTTGTGCCACTCCTTTTGCTCTTCACGCCCCTCCTTGATCTCACTCTGCGGCTGCTGTCGGCCGAACTCCTTTACCTTATCCTTGAGCTCCTGTGTGACTCGTGAGACTCCTCCTTTCTTGCTTTGGAGCCTGATGTGATCTTTCAAACTGCGGTAATGTCGTGACCCGCGGCTTCTCAATCTGAATCCGGACCTTTCTGGCATCTGCCCTTGTCGATCCAACTTTTGAATCTTCTTTCGCTTTGCCGCTGTACGCCACGGAGCTGTTGCAATTGCCTTGTCTGCCTTGCCGTGCAATTTGCTGGACGGCGTGTTGCGTCTGGGTCTGTATGTTCGTCCCACAGCACGGATGGCAGCTCCTCTTCTTGCTGCCCGTCCGGCCGCTTGATCAGGATCACCGGGTTGAGAAGGGGTGTATCCTTCCAAGCCTCCTTCTCCCTCTTTCTCTTCCTTTTCCTTTTCAAACTCTTGCTCTGCTTCTTCGAGCTTTTCTGCGGTGTCCTCGGCTTCAGGCAATTGGTCAGGCAAAGGTTCTTGTTCTTCCTCTTTCTTTTCTTCCTTTTCCTCCTCCTCTTCTTCTTTTCTTCTGGCTCGGTCAACAGCGCGGCCGGACCGGCCGCTTCCGGTGCCGGCTCTTCTTCAAGCCACTCCTCCTCTGAGGATGTTTCGGCTTTGCTACGCCGTTCCTCTTGTGTTCTCAATGCGTGGTCCCTTTCACTCTCACCGAGCCTTCGCGCTACCATCAAAACACGATATCGACGCTGCGGAGCGTCTTGAGCCAAAACAAGTGAAGTCCTTAGTCAAGACTGTACAAGCGGAGTATATATGGGCTATATATACGTTTCCAAAAAAGCACAAGAAACTATATATATATTATGTCATATGAGTCATATGTCAACACATTCCTGCCACAGCCCGCTTTGAACTCAGGCAAGAAACAGCAGCGCTAACAATCCTCCCTTGAAGAGCCTTTCGCATATTCAGCGGTGCTTTGTTGTGAAAGGTGAGAAGGGGCGTCTCCAGTGCCCTGAAGGAGTTGCTGCCAGAAGCTGCATCTCTGAAAGATTCAACAAGAAGGTCAAGGATTTTCGAGACTAAGGCAGATCCACGGAGAACTTGTGGAAGAAAGCCCTTGCAAACACTCTCAGCCTCCACTAGTGCTTTGCAGGCCTCCTGTGATACAAATTTGGATCTTCCACCCGGACCACGAAGTAATTCTGCCGAGAGCGCAGTGGTGTGCAAATAACTCCGCACGACGTCTCCTGTACATTGGATCTTAAGATCTTCAAATGTTGCAGAGTATTCAGTTCTCTGCGCTCTCACTTTTAATCTTAAGGCTCTCGAAATGCAAATCATGGGGGCAATGATATTGACAGGTCTCCCCAAGACTCCATTTCCTATTCCACTCTTCGCATGGCATTGATGCCAAGCTGGCGGGTTGAGAGTCGCAAGCCCCTCTGAAGGTGTGAGAAATGGACTGCGGCATGCTCCAGACTGGTGGTGGACAGAGGCGCAGCGTGGCAACAAGTTCATTGCCATGGCTGTACAGTGGCTCACTGGACCCAAAAAGAGCTGCTTCATTCATTCTAGCACCGCGAACACTTCAAAAAATATACAGGAGCTTGCAGCTGGTGTTTTGTGGCTGAGTCTATACCCGACTTTTGGCATTGCATGCAACCATCTCAATCTGCCCCTGTGCTTCCAATGCAGCAGCGACGCGTTAGGGCTCCCGCAGGATGCAGGCCAAAATGCTCTAACCTCTCCTTTGGAATTGCATCAGACTGACAAGAACTGCAAACAGGTGCTCGTTGAATCAGAAAAAATGAATCAAGGCTGAATGGCTGTTTGGAACCCCGAATAAAGCCCTTAGTGCGCAGCTTTATCTGCAACAATGCAGACAATTCCAGTGGTGTGTCTAATGGCGAATGCCATCTGTGTGGCCTCAATATGTGAAACTGTACAAAGAGAGCATCAAAACAACGGCCTATTTCATCCTATGTCAATATGCTTGAGTTGCTTGAGGTGCTTTGAGTGTGTGGCAGTAACAGACTGCGCCGGCAAAATCAGATCGCATTCATCCTTACGCTGACTTGCAGTGGAGCATTTGACATGAAGTCGTTTGCTTTTGCAGGTGTTGTTGTCACAAGTTGTCACATTCATCTGAATATAATTCTGTGATAGCTAGCAAAGCCTGTACGAGCAGACCAGATGTGGAAGGAGATGGGAGAATGTTGTTAGCTGGTCTACAGTGTACAGTATCTGAATGCAGTTGAGCACGCTTCATTTCAACTTAAGCATACTGTCAGGGCCAGTGTCCTCACGATCGTCGCTATCCATCACCAACACAAAATCGCCCCGTTTGAAGGCCCGCAATGCCTCCTGTCAAAGGACTAACGTCGCAACAAGCTCTTTGGACACATGCAAAAAGCAGTTGTACGGATGCCTCCATGGAAGACCAGGACATGTTCGTTGAAGGGCACCTGACAAAGTTCGACAAAAACAAAGTGTAAACAAGTCAACTCAAAATACACTTATATAACTTATTCATGTGTCCACAAGAAACTCAAATAAATGTGCAAAGCCCCACCTGGGCAAAGCACTTTCAAATTTGCGAGCCAAAAGCTGCAGACTTCGGTTCTTACAAAATAGTCGACTGTCGACCCATGCTGCAACACACCTTTGCTCAACTTTCCAAAACCTTGTCGAATCCTGACACAATTTTGCCCATCGTTGCAGAAACGAACATTTCTCCTCGGGCCCTGGCCTCAAAGGCGTCAACCAACCACTTCCTCTTAACCTTTTCCTTGTCTTTTTCCTTTTCTATCCGTTTCCTTCTTTAGTTGAAAAAACGTCCTATCTGAGGACCTACTATTTCTACACATTTTTGTCTACATCCGCAACCTCTAGATCTGCTTGGTATATGAGTGACATACTCACATTGCTACCTACACCTGCAATTTCCATATACATCTCCTTGGTACATGTGTGGCATTAAGACCTAGTACAGTAGGTTCTACATTGTTACTTCTATATGTGCCTTGTACTTGTGTGACATACTCACACCTACACTTTTGCATATATAGAGGTACACATGCAGACTACACATAGGTTTTTTGCTGTGCAACTTGCACGTATATGTTCGTGATTGTCTTGCGTTTGTTAAACATGCACATGCAGGCTGTACATCTTGCATATGTAGACATGCATGCGTACGTCTTCGCTGGTTATCTATCTTGCATGTATAGAACTACATAAATATTTGTTGGTCCACTTCCCACGAGTCGCCATGGCTGGATGAAGATGTCAAAGAATGCATACTTTACCCTATATCGTCAACACTCTGAAAAAGAAGAGTGTGGTGGAAGCTCATGAAAGACGCATAGACGAAACCACCAAACCAAACAGAAATTTCCGAGTTCATTCAAACTGATCATCTATAAACCGCCGAAAGACACACGCTCCTCGATCACAAGCCATGGCAATGGTTTTTGTATTTTCTAAGTAAGCATTGTTCATCACTGTAAATATACCTCATGACCCTTACCTTTGGCTCAAGGAAAAGCTGTGCGCTATTGGCTGATTTCCTGTAAACATAGGTTATCAGCCGTATAGCCTTAGGCCCGTAGTATTGCTCCCACGTCATTCGCAGCCATGGACTTATCTCTGGATCCAGCGGCCCTCGCGAGGCTGGCTGCGCCGTACAATGGTGCGGATGGGCGTGAGAGCGCGGGTGGAAACCCCGCCGCTTTCCATCTACCGTTGATGGATCCGGGCGTCTCGTCTACACCAGACGGAGGATCCAACATGTCAACTGACGGAGGGGGAGCGGGTGGGAACACCGCGCCGGTGTTCAATCAGGCCAATTTTTCCTTTGTGAGCACACCTCCAGCTATACTGGCGGAGATGATGCGCCAGGCCTCGCAAAATCAGCAACTTGAGGGGCAACGAGCAGAAGTCATGCTCGCAGCACAGAGGCTCCGAAACGAAGCTGATGAAGCGTTCTCTGAGAATGAGGAGATGAGGGTCCAGGCGAAGTTGTTCATCACCGCAGCCGAAACTGAATATCAATCACTGCAGGAGCAGGCTCAGAATCAGTTCATGGAAATGTCCATGAACCACCGTCAACATATTGAAATGAGGCAGAGTCAGAAAGTCTCGTCCCTTGAGATGAACTTGGCACAGCAACAACAAACGGCCATGGATTTGCAAAGGCGGCTAACTGAGACGGAATCCGTCCAGGCACAACTCCTGAAGGAACTTCGTGAAATGAAGCAACGGAAGGATGATGCGCCGGGCATTCCCGGAAGGAGCTGCCGAACCTCGTGAGTCCATACCAATGCATGAAGCACCACCTGCAGGTTTGTCCCAGCACGATGATGTCAGATCTTTTAGAACTGCTGAGCTGTTCGGTACTCCATCCTTAAAGTCTCAACCCGGAAGCGTATTTTCCCCTAACACTACAGTTTTCCAACCGGTGAGTCCTTGGAATGATGGGTACGGGTCATTAGCAGCACACGCATTGTCGGGCAACTTCGGTAGGGGCGGGCCGGGTAATGGTGGTGGTGGACCGCCGGGAGGGGGAGGAGACAATCCTGGTGGAGGTCGTATCAGGTGACCCCATTGATCCTGGGCGTCCAGGCATTCCGCTTCTCAAGATTCCTAAGTCGGGGGGTGGACCACCTGGACCTCCGGGGGATGACAGCGATCCAGACGGAGGAGATGATTTTGACGATGATGACGATGAATTGACAGACAAGGCTCTTATGAGGAAGCTCAAACAAGTTTTGGGGGGAAAAAGCAATACCACGAAGGAAGCTGACCAGCCCGAGAACTATCGCAATTGGAAAATCAGGGTGAGGGATGCGGTGAGGGCCGCGTCTTCCAAGCCCGACAAAGCATTCTCGTGGATCAACAAGGTGTGGATTGAAGGTCAAACCATTGAAGGTCTTGCAAGTCCTGACGGGTTTACTACCCTCGATGCCAAGCTTCTTGCCGCACTGTCGTCCGTCGCCACAGGTGAGTTCGCTCGCAAGGTGGACACATTCAAGGAGAAAGAATCCCAGAAAGATCGTCCGGTACGGGGGAGACAGGTGTTGCTGATGATGCATGAGTATTTCAGCACAAACATCAAACATGGTGCCACCTACTCTCTCAGTGATCTGTTCAACGTGAAAATGAAGGGCGACAATCTCAAAACCTTTTTATCGAATTGGGATTCTGTTACCACCGGTGTTACCCATTTGCCTGAAACTACTGTCCTGGAAACTCTATTCTACCAACAAGTGAAGAATCACGGGGCAATCGCCCATGACATTGAGGAGTACCACCGGGCCGAAGAGGGA